AGAGACATGATGAGCACAGAACCCTGCTGAGATGGGGCAGGCCAGCAGGAGACCCAGAGGGCTTGAGCAGGCCATGCTGGACTGCTTTGGGAACCTACTCGACTTTCCCTCCCCATCACTTCTCCAGCTCTCCCTCTAGTCCCCCAGGAGTCCGGCTGCTGTAAAGTGCCCACTGGACAGCAAGATCCATGCTTTCAGCTCTTCCCAGCTGCCAGATTAGAATCAGGTGCTCCATTCCCCAGGAATCAGAACCAAACCGCCAAACCCAGCCTTTGCCAGAGACATGATGAGCACAGAACCCTGCTGAGATGGGGCAGGCCAGCAGGCAGACCCAGAGGGCTTGAGCAGGCCCTGCTGGACTGCTTTGGGAACCTACTCGACAGTTAACTCTAGGCACTTCCCACTTCTCAGCATGGAGATCCTCTGGCTCACCAACTTAAGGAAATTCCAGTGTGGAAGGAAGGTAATAGGATCTGTTAAAGAATGCTGGGAACTGGGACGCCCATAGGTTCAAAGACTCTAGGACCACACATTCCCTACCCTCCACTGTCCCTTCCCACTGTCACAACTCAAACTAGCACCATGGCCCATCAGTTTAATTTCAGGCGTTCTTTTCCAATATCAGACTTTTAAAAAGGAATGAGGGGCTGGAGAGATGGCTCAGAGGTTAAGAGCGCTGGCTGCTGTTCCGGAGGTCCTGAGTCCAATTCCCAGCATCCACATGGTGGCTCACAACCATCCGTTATGAGACTTGGTGCCCTCTTCTGGTGTGCAGGGATATATGCAGACAAAAAATAATAAATAAAATACATAATAAATAAAACAAAAAGTAAAAAAAAAAAAGGAATGCGATGACACCACCAAAAGAACTTGCATTGGTAAGCCCCAGGAACACAGGGGCGATTACTAAAGCCGTTGAGGGGTGGGAGCTTTGAACCTTGTGTGGGTCCTCAGCTGTGAGTCTTCTGGGAGAAGAGACACAGAAAAGTTCCAGTGGGGGAGAACACCAGGAAGTGGTGTCCTAAGACCCGGGACACCAGTACATCTGGCGCCCCCACCAGGTCAGGCATGGTTCAGAATAGATCCCGCACTAAAGTGGCCGCCGAGATGCCAAGGCCTCGCAGCTGTTCTGTGTACCCTTCTGGATCTGTGTCCACCTTCTTTTGAGGAGTCTGTGCGGCTCACGCGTTTCTCTCCGCCCAAGTCCCTCCGCAGCCTCTCGGTCTGAGGCTCCCTGGGGCTGCCTTCCCACGTGCGGTCCCTCCCCGGCTCAGGCTGCCAGCTCT